AGTCAGTTCCAGGTCCCTCTCCCTTTCCCTCCCCTACTCCCGTGTCCTCCCCCCAACCCCCCATTATCCCCTCATTTCCCCAGGGAGGGTGAGGCCTTCCATGGGGGTATCCATAGTCTGTCATTTCATACAGGGCAGGGCCTAGACCCTCCCTGAAAACAGTTCTTGAGACCAGGCTGGCATAACAATCAGAGATGGGTGTATTCTGCTTTTCAGGAGTTGATAGTAAAGGCGTGGTTACCATGACCAGGTCCTTACGTTTTCTCTTTTTATTATTATTATTTTTTTTTGGTTTTTCGGGACAGGGTTTCTCTGTGGCTTTGGAGGCTGTCCTGGAACTCGCTTGGTAGTCCAGGCTGGTCTCGAACTTACAGAGATCCGCCTGCCTCTGCCTCCTGAGTGCACGTTTTCTCTTACTGGCGGGGGGGGGGGGGACCTGGATGTAGGTTGTGCTCGTGTCTGATGTGTGTTGTTGTGCTGAGCTTCTCCAACGTCTTCAATTAGTTTCTCCTGGAAGGCACATATTCATGGCAGTAATACTCTCCGTTTCTTGAGTCACTAGCATGCAGTGTGACATCCTTAGTATCTTGTGTATATTTTAAATGTTTTGAACAAATGTGAGTATTTTGTCTGCATGGATATGGATCATATGTGTGCCTGCTGAACCCAATAGTCAGAATATGATTCCAGAAACCCTGAATTTGGAGCTCTGGGTAGTTGTAAACCCTCATATAAGTATTGGAAATTACTCCCAATTCCTCTACAAGATCAGAAAATGCTGTTCACCGCTGAACCATCTGTCCTGTCCTGCTTTTTTCATTTAAAAATTTTTCCATTTACAATGCTTACATTTTCATGTATTCATCGCTAGTGGTTTCAAACTTTCATTCCCTTTTAGTAAGATCATATCAGTCTCACAGTTCAAAGTATGATGTTTCAGATTTCTGGGAAATGATTATAGATAGGGAGTGAATGCTTATCTGTTTTTTTTTTCGAGACAGGGTTTCTCTGTGGCTTTGGAGGCTGTCATGGAACTCGCTCTGTAGACCAGGCTGGCCTCGAACTCACAGAGATCTGCCTGCCTCTGCCTCCCGAGTGCTGGGATTAAAGGCGTGCACCACCAACGCCCGGCTTGCGTTGTGTGCGGGCACACACATGCTTGTGTATCTGTCCCTGCAGGTCCTTGGAGTCAGTCACCCATGACAGGACATGAGGATTTGCCTGTCTCGTTGGTTCCAAGTGATTTCAGTGATGAGGCAAGGCAGCCCCACTGTGTTAGGTTATCTGCTGCTGTGAAGAAACAGCATGACCATGAAAACTTTAAAGGAAAACATTCAGTTGAGTGGCTTACATCTTCACAGATCTAGTCTATTATTATCATGATGAGAATAGCACCATGCAGGTAGACATGCTGCTGGAGAAGGATCTGAGAGTTAATGCATCATGATCCATGGGCAACAGAAAGTGGATGGAAGTAGGCTTAGCTTGATCACAGGACACCACAAAGCCCACCCCGACACTGACACAGTTCCTTCAACAAAACCACACCTACTCCAGCATGGCAACACCTACTAAGAGGTCATTTTCTCTCAACTGCCACACCCACTTTGAGGAGCAGTACTCTTGGTCCTTGTGCTCACCTTTGGGGCATATGAAATCCACCGGGAAATGTATAAAGCCATCCTTATGTTGTGTCTCCTACCTGGAAATTCTGATGACATAGAACTAGTCAGGACAGTATGTCTGTACACTACCTTCACGGCTGGTAGAGAATATGTCCAGAGGAACAAGTCATTTTCCTCCCAAGTAGAATTACACATGGCCATGGACTGACAAAGAATCACTTCAATGACCCTAACAGCTGAGGTAGGAGAGTCCTGCACTTGTGCTGTCATTCGCCATTTTGAGACAAGGTCTTGTTTATAACCCAAGTTTTCCTGAAACACGCAGTAATACTCCTGTATCTGTGTGCTCAATACGGAGGTTACAGTTGCTTCCAACCCTAGCTGATTTATATATAATTAGAATTTGCTAGCTCTGCCCCATCTCCTGTGGAGAAAACTCTATTAGATGCTGTACTTCTGAAACTTGCTTGGCATACCAAACCTACTGATCCCAAAATTTCTTCCTTTTCTCATCCCTAAACCATACCTTTGTCACCTCATCGTTCAGGACCATAATTTCTGGGTTTCAGGACATAGACAGCTACAGACTGCAGAGTTCAGCACATACATCAGGGGTCTTCCCATCAGAGTGGCATATGTCGTAGAGATCTAGACCTCATTTAGCAAGGCTATGAGGAATAGAGTCACCACAGGTGCACAGTGATGGAGACACCTTAGTTTGGGAACTGGAATACTGCCTTCTGAATGAGCTAAGATGTCCTCAGTGCAGATTCTCGTGTGAAGAGCTCTTTCCCTCATGTTACCGCTTAAGGATCCTTCCCACAGTACTACAGTTGTTTACTGGGCATATATTCTGTGGATGGTCTGGAAGGCGACTTTTCATTCAGCTATGTAATTTTGATATATAGAATCCATGCTGGGACATGCTCCATAACTGAATCTATTCATATCACATTACTCTCTTCCTCAAACAACCACAAGCAGATTACTTTCACCTCAGTGCAAGTTCAAACTAGACTGAGGGCTTTTTGCAAAGAACAAACTTTACAGCTTGTCACAGTCTACCAACTGTCAGAGTCACAGAAGTCTACCAACGTTACCAAGAAAGGCATGGTATCTTCACTTGCCAATCTACTAACAATAGCTATGTGCCTTCGAGTTGTCATTGGACACTGTGCCCTCCCTGTCTGGTCATGGCTTTTCTATGGCTTGGACCCTTGTGTTGTCATGGTAAATGGCTCAGCTCCTTATAGCTTCCTCTACGAATGTGCTTTTGACCAATAAGAGGAACTTACTTTCTTATTTCAAGGGTCCTAAAGGAGAAGAGTTTTTAGAATAGAAGAAGCATGGAGAAGTTAGAAGCAGGACAGGATTATTAGAGCAGAAAGAGAACAATAAAGAGCCTGACCCTCAGAGGGTGTGTGAAGTTACTAGAGAAATCTTTTACCCCCTCCTTCCTTCCAGAGAAGCATTTCATCTTGGAAACCCTGTGTAGGGCCTTTACAATAGCCGAAACTGGTTTTAACGTATGATGTCCTGCCTCCATCATCCAAGTGCTGCCACGGTACTCCAAAGGTTTGGACCGTGTTAAGTTTTAGCTACCAAAGTTCACCTGAGAGGTGTGAAAAATTCTAAGTGTGCCTTGTTCAAATTTGGTAGCTAATAGGATCATGATTACTAATCAGCCAATTTTAAAGCTATGTCAGCCGGGCGGTGGTGGCGCACGCCTTTAATCCCAGCACTCGGGAGGCAGAGGCAGGCGGATCTTTGTGCGTTCGAGGCCAGGCTGGACCGATAGCCTCCGAAACAATACAGAGAAACCCTGTCTCGTAAAAACCAAAAAAAAAAAAAAAAAAAAAACAATTTTAAAGCTATGTCATGATAATGTGGTAGATGAAGATACCCATTACTCCTTCGGTCATCTATCACTTAAAGGGAGTGAAAGCCCCTGCTATATGCTCACTGATGGTTCCATGGATTTCTACCCTCTGTGAATGGATTCTCCACACTAGTTCTTATTGTTAACCCACTTCTTGTAATGTGATTAAAGTCAAGGAAAGGTTTCCTTGAGTAGAGAGGTGTCCAGCCATATCATCTAAGAAAGCATTCATGATTCTGTGTTGAGAAAGGATCTCTCTACATGCTGAGGGCTCTCCTGGAATTCCCTGTCTTGATTTTGCAGGCCTGAAACTCAGAGAGATCCTCTTGTTTCTCCCAAGTGCTGCAGCTGCAGGCATGTACTAGTATGCCCAGCTGAGATGTTAATATCCTACTTTTGAATCAGAGAATCAAACAATGTAAATTTTAAACAGGAACTGTCATTGTGTTGATGAGCAGTAATTCTACCATGTATTCATTTCAGCTGGTGAATCATTTCGTATGTTCTCTATATTGTGATTATTTTCTTTGCATTCCTGAATACAACTCTTGAAACTGCTTTAAGTGTGTATTCATTTGTGTAATGGTGTGCACGTGACACTCAGAGGACAACTTACAGTTACTGTTTAATTTACTTGCTTTCAAGTGACCTCACTGACCTTCATTTGGTTTAAAAATTATTTGTGTATGTGCTGTTGTGTGAGTTTGCATATGCCCATCTTAGGTATAGTAATGAGAGAAAAACTTGTAGGAGTCCTCTAGGTCTCCCAGAGATTGAGCACAGCTCAACTGGATTAGTAGGAAACTACTTTATCCACTGAGAAAATTCTCTCCCATTCATTTATGGTTACAAAAAAATGACATGAACGTGCATTTAGCCCTCAGAAGAAACTAACACAATTTCCCCTCAAAATGACAAGGAATCATTTTATTATTTTTTAATTTTCCTTTTTGGTTTTTCGAGACAGGATTTCTCTGTATTGTTTTGGAGCCTTTCCAGGAACTCCATAGGTAGACCAAGTTGGCCTCTGCCTCCTGAGTGCTGGGATTAAAGGCGTGCACCACCAACACCTGACTAATAAGTATCATATTTATTATCATATAGGATTTATGATTCAAATTACTCCCATGTTCCTCCATTAAATGACTATATGCTTACATCTGAATAGGAGACAATATTTTACTGATGTAATGTTTCTACAATTCACAAAACTCTGACTGAGTTTGAGGGGAAAATAAAGAGGGACACAATAGAGCCTGAATAGACTGTTGACAGAATTTTCTCCACAATAAATAATCTTCTATAAGAAAACGGAAGTGTATTGGCCAAAGACCTTAACAGATCCCTCCTGGTCATGGGTTCCCCTAACTATAACTTCTTTAATATCTGAATTCTCCATACGAATTCCTTACTGACTTGGAGGATAACAGTGACATGCAGGGTGTTTTTTTTTTATCACATTGCTTACATTCACAGAGTTTCTCTCCAGCATGAAGTCTTTTTTAAAATAAAATTTCTTTATTGAATCCATGGGAATTGGTGATCAGGAACCCCCATTCAACTCACCTCCTTGTCCAGCCATAGGCAGCAACACCCCCCAAAGGAAAATTATTTCAAGACAAGCAAGCAAACAAAAATAAAAAAAAATCCCCCAAATAACAAAAGATATCCTCTTTGCTACTCTATCTTTCCCAGTTTTCTGGCACTCTTTCATTTTTCCTGGTGGCATTGGATATTTGATATTTCACACAGTGCACTCTTTTGTTCAATCAGCTTTAGTCTTTGGTTTTCTTCAAGGCTCTGGTTTCTGGTATGACATCATCACAGGATTCACTGAAACTCCTCTTGGTTATTGTGCAGCTGCCCAAGTCATGGAGACACTGAAGGTATTTATTGCTCTACAGGACCAGTCCCTTCTTGAGCTCTAGCAGATCCTAAATTGTGCAAATGCTAGGATGTGCCAACCCTGGGTGTACCTGTGGTCTCAGTGGGAGTTGAGTTGGTCAATCTAGGCAACTGGGGATTCCTCCCTTAGGTACGGGGTGGGTGGAGCTTGCTCTCTGATGCCCAAGTCTTCCGAGTAAATCCACGCTCACCCATGCTGAGAAGTAGCTCTCCCATGAGGGCTGCAGCCAGTTCTCAAAGTGTCAAGTGACAGGCAGGGGCAGCTATCCTGTGGCCAGGGTCGGGAGGGCTCAGCATGGCCCTGATTTCATGACACATATGACTATGGTCTCCTGAGGTGACATGGAACACAGACATCAATACAGAGCTCTGCTGCAGGCAGACCACAGACCCGGAAATTGCCAAAGCAGGAGTTTGGGCTCAAATGGCATCTTGGTTCTGGGCAGAGGCACACACCACTCAGATCACTATGACTCTGGTGGCAGCATGGCTCCTAGGCACTGAATGTCTATAGACTTCAACCTTGACACCAGCTTCCCTGTGACTTTGCTGGCAACACAGGCCTTGAACACAGAGTCCAGCTGGGGTAGGATAACAGACGCAGATATAGTCCACAGCAGCCTGGTCTTGATGTCACTATGGGCCCAGGTAGCAGTGCAGGCCACTCAGATTGACAAGTCTGTACAGCAGTGTGGCTCTCAGACCTTAACATGCCAAAAAAATATTGGGCATTCATATGGCATTCTATGGTAACAGGAACCTGAGACATCAACACAGACTGTTGCTGCAGCAGGGACCGGGACACAAAAATGGCCCTCAGCTGTAGCTTTGGCCCAGACATCACCATGACACCAAGCAGCAGCACAGGCAGCTCAGATCTGCACGGCTCCCACTTGGATTCAGGAGGCTGACCTGACCCTGCGCATCTACCTGGCTGGGGTTGGAAAAACAGGCCACAGACCCAGGGTAAGGTAGGACCATGAAGCCAGACATGGTCCTCAGCAGCAATCGGAGTCCATCATGTCACCATGTCCCACAGTGTTGGTACAGGCCAGAATGGCTCTGGTGGGAGTGCAACCCTCAGACGTCAACATGGCCCCAGAGGCAGACCCCAGGAATCCACATGGCCCTCCTGGCTTCAGCAGCCATGGATATCAAGAGACTCTGGCTGTTATTAGGCCACAGTCCCAGAATTGCCCTTAGTAGCTTCCCAAGCAGAGAGGACACCATTGCCGTGGGTGGGAGCACAGGTCATGGCACACACCCTAGACCTCTGTGTGGACTCTGTTGGCATCAGAACTTCACAGACTCCAGCTGTGTTAGAACCACAGACGCAGACATGGTTGTCAGCATTAGCTGACGTCTGGATGTCACCATGGCCCCAGGTGGTAACCAAGGCCACCCAGACTGGCACACTTCCTGGCCCCCATAAAGGATTCAACAATATCACAGTCCAAAATACATTCAGTTCAACTTCAAAACTTCCCATAGTTGGCCGGGCGTTGGTGGCGCATGCCTTTAATCCCAGCACTCAGAAGGGAGAGGCAGGTGGATCTCTGTGAGTTTGAGGCCAGCCTGGTCTACAGAGCGAGCTCCAGGGCAGCCTCTAAAACAATACAGAGAAACCCCGTCTCGAAAAAACCAAAAAAAGAAAAAAGAAAAAAAAAGTTCCCATAGTTTTATCACAGTCTCATCAATGTTGGAAGTCCAAAGTTCACCTTCTCTTTTGAGATCATGTAATCTATTAACTGCAATCCCCTGTAACATCAAGATCAAAAAGAAGACTGCATACTTCCAACATATAATGGCTTACAACATACTTTACCGTTTCAAAGTTTAGGGAAGGGAGAATACAGGACCAAAATACAATCACATAACAGGTGGGCATACTCCAAATTCTGCATCAGAACACCATCTCCAACTCTGTTCAGCATTGTTGGTGGCAACACACTTCTTTCTGTTGGACTGGTTCCACTCCCAGTCAGCAGCCCTCCTCAGCGGGTATACCACGACTCTCGAATCTCTAATACACTGGATTCCGCAAGAAAACTTGCTTCACATCATGGCCTTTGCACTAGACATGCCTGAGCAGACTGGAATCCGATGGGCTCACAGATGTCTTCCTGCCATGCCAGGATCTGAGCACCCAGACTGGAGAGGGCATGGCTTGAGCCTGCCTGAACAATGTAGGATTAGATGAGCCATGATGGCTTTGTGTCAGCTCACATCTTCAGGACACAAGTAGGTGGCTTGCGTCTGGCTGGAGTGTATGGCATCAGAAGCGCCGTGGACATCTTCCCCTAGTATGAGTTCTTTTACGAATCTGGAGCTGACTGTATTGTTGAAAGGTTTTCCCACATTGCTTACATTCATAGGGGATCCTTCTTGTATGAGTTCTCTTAGGCATTGGGACAGCACTGTGTTTTGAAAAGGCGTTTCCACTTTCACAGTGTTTCTCTCTAGTATGAATTCTTTCATGTACTTAACGAGCACTGCAATTAGAAAAAGCTTTTCCACATTGGTTACATTCATAGGGGATCCCTCTTTTATGAGTTCTCTTAGGCATTGGGAGTGCACTGTTTTGAAAAGGCTTTCCCACATTCATTATATTCTAGTATGAATTCTTTGTTCATGTACCTTAAGAGTACTGTAATTTGAATATCCTTTACCACATTGCTTACATTCATAAGGTTTCTCTTGTGTGTGAGTTCATATGCATTTGGAGACCATTGTGTTTTCGAAAGGCTTTCCCACATTCAGTACATTCATAGGGTTTCTCACCAGTATGAGTTCTTTTATGAATCCGGAAAGAACTGTCATGTGAAAACAGTCTTCCACATTGCTTACATTCATAGGGTTTCTCTCCAGTATGAATTCTTTCATGTATTTTAAGAGTACTGCAATTTGAAAAGGCTTTACCACATTGCTTACATTCATAGGGTTTTTCTCCAGTATGGCTTCTTTTATGAATGGTGAGATGACTCGGTTGTGAAAAGGCCTTACCACATTGATTGCATTTGTAGGGTTTCTCTCCAGTATGCATTCTTTCATGTGTTTTCAAATAACCGTAATCTGCAAAAGCTTTCTCACAATGATTACATTTATAGGGCTTCTCTCCTGTATGATTCCTTGTATGTATTTGGAGACTACAGTGTTTTGAAAAGGATTTACCACATTGGTTACATACATAGGGTTTCACTCCAGTATGCGTTGTTTCATGTCTTTTAAGATAACCTTGACGTGTAAAAGCTTTCTCACATTGATTACACTGAAATGGTTTCACTCCACTATGAGTTTTTTTATGAGTGTTGAGATGACTCTGTTGTGAAAAGGCTTTCCCACATTGATCACATTCATAGGGTTTCTCTCCAGTATGGGTTCTTTTGTGAATGAGGAGACGCTGCCGATATGAAAAGGCTTTACCACATTGAGTACATTTGTAGCGTTTCTCTTCAGTAAGACTTCCTTTAGGCCTGTGAAGGTAATTGACACATGTCAATGCTGTACCACATTCATTATGTTGATAAGACACACAACATTTGCAACGTGAACCAAGATAAACAGAAGAATTTCTGCGGTGGTATGAGTTGATATATAACAGATGAGGTTAAAAAAAATCAATTGTAAACTCACATTACTTTTACAATGTTTACTCCAACTGGGGACTATTACATACTTTCTAATTTTTCTAGGAATGTGGAATGTTGATATTCTTTCCATATTCCTTAGTACACGTGCCTAGTTTCAAGAGTGACATAATAGACCAATAAAGAGAAAATATCAAATGAAAGGTTTCCATAATGCACACACAATTTAATCTTTGTTCTTCATAGAGATATGGGTGTTAGAGTTTCTCCATAACAACCCTTCATGAGTACAATAAACTGCCACTCTAACTGTACTTTGGTAACTGATTACAAGGATTTGAGTCACTCTAACTTTACTATGGACTACTTGTTTATTAAAAGGCTGTAGACATGGATTTACCTCCTAATCACCAGGTTTGTCTTTGCCATATCACAGTGGTATGGAACTAATGGACTGACAGACCTACTGCAGACCTCATGGGGTTATCATTAAAATGGATATATCTGTTCATGCATTGTCTTCTGGAAATCTTGTTAACAGACATCAGCTACCTGACATTGAGGTACATGGTGTTGTGAGAATTTCATAATCAATACACTTAAAGTTGTACTTATTTGCACCGTTACTTCTTCTTAAAACTTCCAAGGCACATTAAAATTCCTCTGTGGGACATCTGTATTAGTTTACACAAGGAAATTACCTTCTCTGTCTTCTAAATCGTTGACCATGGTCTTCACTGTCATGGGCTTCCCATTTGTAGCCTAAAATATGGTACCAGAAAACGCATGGTATATTACTGGAAATTATACAAACTTTAAGTTACTATATTCAGTGACTCTAAGAAACATGCCTGTCATTTTCACCACATTCTTCAGTTTTTTCAAAATTACAGAAGAGGACCAATGAGCAAGAACCAGTAGCCTCCTTATTTGAAATGTTGGAGGGAAATTCAGTCTTACCTATAGCAGTAAGGTGACTATAAATCTCCAGCATCACATCTTTGTAGAGACTCTTCTGGGAAGGATCCAGCAAAGCCCATTCTTTGGAAGTGAAGCTGATATGCACATCATTGTAGGTCACTGCATTCTGGAAGTGTGTTATTGATTACAATATGAATGTAGACATCTTTGACAATATAGTCACATAACTCTCGTATTTGACAACTTATTCCAGTACAGAGAAGTTCTCATCCATTCATTTTAGAAGGAAACTGAAAAGGAGGTTTGAAGGTGGGGTTTAAATGAGTTCACCAGACCCAAGATAAATGATAAATAGGTGTGTATTAGGGAAGGACTCACACAGATGAGAGTAAATGAGTCCTGTGTTCTTCCCGCCCGAACATACAGTCTCGTTTCTTCCGATGCTCTCCACAACTAGACAGCCTGAGCCTGCCCCTCCTCTACCCTACAATGTGTTCCTTTTGAACCTGGTACCACACCCAAAAGTTGTGGCCCCCATTACCAGTTCACTGCGATGGCAAGATGCCATTACAGATGTTCACACGTGCCATTTCTTTACTCTTGAATAGAATTTACACTTTCAAAACAAATGTCTATTAACAGAGACAAGCAAACAAATCAACAGTACTAAGTACACATCGGGGAAATTGAATGAGCAATTACTAACCACAAAAGAGATGGCAAACAGGATACATTGTCTCATGTGTTTAAGACTATCACTCAGAAGGCAGCGAAGGTTGAGTCTCCTTGAACGAATAGGACCGTCTGACCTATGAAATGAGTTCTAAGACATATCTGGACCCTGTCTCACCTTGCAAGAAACCTAAACTAACCAACCAACAAACCAACAAATAAAGAAAAAGAGAATATCACTGAAGTTCCTATTAAGAGATAAGCATTCATTCCCTATATGTAATCATTTCTCAGAAATCTGAAACAACATACTTTGAACTGTGAGAGTGATATGATCTTATTAAAAGGGAATGAATGTTTGAAATCACTAGCGATGATAGATAAAAATGTAAGCATTGCAAATGGAAAAAATTAAAAGAGAAAAGCAGGGCAGGACAGATGGTTCAGTGGTGAACAGTACTTTCTGATCTTGTAGAGGAGATGGATTTAATTTCCAATACTTATGTGAGGGTTTACAACTACCCATAGCTCCAAATTCAGGGTTTCTGGAATTATATTCTGACTACTGGCTTCAACAGGCACACATAGGGTGCATATCCATGCAGACGGGCAAAATACTCATATTTGTTCAAAACATTTAAAACACACACAAGATACTAAGAATGTCACACTGTGTGCTAGTGACTCAATAATCGGAGAGTATTAATGTCATAGATATGTGCCATTCCAGGAAACTAATTCAAGTCATTGGTGATCTCAGCACAACACCACACGTCTGACATGTGCACAACCTACATCCAGGTCCCCCCGCCCCCACCAGTAAGAGAAAACCTAAGGAGCTGGTCATGGTAACCACGCCTTTACTATCAGTTCCTGAAAAGCAGAATGCACACATCTCTGATTGTAAGGCCAGCCTGGTGTCAAGAACTGTTTTCATAGCCGGCGTTGGTGGCGCACGCCTTTAATCCCAGCACTCGGAGGTAGAGGCAGGCGGATCTCTGTGAGTTCGAGGCCAGCCTGGTCTACAAAGTGAGTTCCAGGACAGCCTCCAAAGCAACAGAGAAACCCTGTCTCGAAAAACCAAAAAAAAAAAAAAAAATAAGAAAAAGAAAAAAAAGAATAGCAACCAAATGCCTCAGGGAGGAAAACTACTTTTTTCTACTTTCTGTTATTTAGGGATAACCTACAATGGTGATGAATCATGATGTCATGAGAAGGAGCTGGCCGACTAACTTCAACCACAAAAACCAGACAATAAGAACTTGAGGCTATAGGCCCTCAAGTCACATCCCCAATGAGGAACTTCCTTGAGAAAGATTTCTTCTACTAAAGATTCTGGCCCAGGTCACTCTAGGCTTATGGTCATCACATGACAAAAATGTGGTTAGTCCATGCACACCTATCCCCAAGCCCTGTTTGTTACTTAGTCACTATGTGTCTGGGGATTGTAGTATGATTAACATTTATAGCTAATATTCATTCATTAGTGTGTCCATATCGTGTTTGTCTTTCTGGGTCTCAATCGCCTCTCTCAGGATCTTGACCAATGTTAGCCAACTACCTATGATTCTATGTGTCTAAACATTGAATAAATAAACTTCACAAGTACCACAAAATTAAATCAATATGATCCTAGAACTGTTATATCTGGTCACCCAGCTACTCGTATTTTTCCTCAAAAAGCTCCATGCTCTGTAGCTGGCAATAGAGAAAGGTGGTATAGACTGCTTAAAACTAAGTTAGAATAACTCAAATATGCCCCTTGAAGAGACTATTTCAATTTCATGCTGAATTAAATACTATAGAAAGACTGAATAGAGCTTCTCCCTTAGAAGAAGCTAATAACTCAGGGATAGAGCAACAACCTGGTATTTCCTAATATTTGATGAGGGACATGTCCTCCCCATACCATGGAAATCCTGTAAAATCAAAGAAAATAGCCTAATACCGTTTGTTATTGAGAGAGGAGGATGGGACGACAGCATCCAATTTTTCAGAGCCCACTAGAGGGCAGCATTTGTCAACACCCCTGTTTCCCCATCTATAGTTATCAGATGCCTGATCTTAATCTACATGCAAGGCTTCATTAAATACACTTAGTAGCCAGAAGGTATCATTTACCTCAAATCATGGCTCCCATCTTAAGATCTTTCCCCTGAGGCTGATCTTAGGAGAATAACAGTCCTTTCCTGCTCCTCAGGAAATAGTTTTGCTGCAAGGAAACCTCATAAATTGATAACTTCAGGAGCTCTGTTGGTTGGCTCCTTACTTGCAGTTGGCACAGCATCTTCTGTTCCTTCTGACATTGATGCAGATACAGCAGGCATCAGAAATCTTACTTAATTAAAACCTCTGACCAATAATGCCTTGTCTGATAGACTAGCTACTAACCACCAACTCATTACAGGCCTTCATCTGGAACTAAATGTATTAAAACAAGCATTGGCAAATACTAAAAAAAACACAACTGGAATTTCGTTTGAAGTGACTAGCTGAAACCACCCAGATCTCTCAAAATTCTAAGTCCATTGCAACAGAGTTTGGAACAAAAACTGCAATCTACAAGTCTCTATTGGACTCAGAGCAAACCTCTTGGTCTGCACATGGATTCTACAAAACAAACTTACTGTATGAACATTGTAGCACCAGCATTTCAAAAACAAAAAACCCCGCCCCATTGCCTTGGAAACTTCAGGTGGGCTTTGTTGTAGCCCCTGTTACTTTCTTATGGAGTGTTAAGACTGATACACAGTGCATCTACTATCCTGAGGAACACATCACCTCATCTGGGGCCAGTAGTTTTGTGTCCTCCCTACCTCTGCCCTGGGAGCTAAAGATGTCAGAACTTACCCCTTATGTATTTACAAAGCAACTCACAGACAAGCCTGAATTTCCTGCTCCACGAAGTACTTCAACCTCACAGTACACATGTACAACATCACCAGGGATACGTGGGACTTCATTTTTACTTTGTACAACCTGTTTGCCTGGCTATATAAATGAAGCTACTGGAGTTACAACTAATTTGTCAGGACAAGTAATCATGTCTAAGACCTCCAGTCTAAACCTCAAACAGAGACAACTTTTTGACTCGGGTACCCTGTATAATAATGAACCGAACAATATCTGGCCAGGAAAAGCTAGGAAGCCATCAGTGGCATTTTCACTGATCTTGATTTAACATGCCACAAGTACAGTCAATGGAGTATGAGATTACTAGGGATACTGAGACCCCAGGAGGACATTGAATTTATTAACATCAGCTGTGCTCAAAGCAGACACTCCTGCCTCCACCCACAGTTAGCAAGCTTAAAAACACTCTTTATTTGATGTGACATTTTGATTTCACTATACTTGTTTCCCCAAAAGGAACTCATGCCACTGGATAAAGGAAAGCTTTGGGGGCTTTTTTATAGATACCATATTTTACTTTTGGGCATATAAATTCCTTATGATTATTTTGGGCTTGTTTAATAAACTTCAGTTTAGGAGGAACCATGTTAACAAGATCCAGAGCCTTCTATCACCTATTGCTGCAGAAAGAACAAACCAGGTCTGTATGATTCTGGAAGAAACATTTGGAGAAACCGTCATTAAAGAAAATTCCTCAGGAAATGTTTTATCTCCATGATGATTCCTTAGCCTAAGAATATTGTATCTTCTTGCCGGGCGTTGGTGGCACACGCCTTTAATCCCAGCACTCAGGAGGCAGAGGCAGGCAGATCTCTGTGAGTTCGAGACCAGCCTGAACTACCAAGCGAGTTCCAGGACAGCCTCCAAAGCCACAGAGAAACCCTGTCTCGAAAAACTAAAAAAAAAAAAAAAAAAAAAAAAAAAAAAAAAGAATATTGTATCTTCTTGCTCTCTCACTGAGACAGGGGAAGAATAGAGGAGAACAACAATTGACATACCATAATAGAGGAAGCCATTATAAGTCTAAAGAAAAATCTGGCACTAGAGATCTAGAAGGCTGACAATCTAAGCAATAGTCAAGAGACTATTTCAAATGCCCTTCTCTGATAATGAGAATGATGACTACCTTATATGCCATCTTAGAGCCTTCATCCAGTAGCTGATGGAAGCAGAAGCAGAACCCATAGCTAAACAAAGAGCTGAACTCTGGAATCCAGTTGTAGAGAGGGAGGAGTAACGAGCAAGGTGGTCAAGACCAGGTTGGAGAAACTCAAAGAAACAGCTGACCTGAAGAAGGCAGAACTCAGACTGACTGCTGGAAAACTGGCATAGGAGTGAACCAGACCCCCTGAAGGTGGATGTCAGTTTGGAGGTTTGGGGCCTCTAGTAGTGGAACAGTATTTATTCCTAGTACACAATGGATTTTGGGAGCCCACTCCACATACAGGGATACTCTCTCAGCCTAGACACATGGTCCCGCTTCAAATGTGTGACAGACTTTAAAGATCCCCGATGGAAGTCCTCATCCTCCCTGGGGAGCAGGAAGGGGATGGGATAAGAGGATAGTGGGGGTTAGGAGAG